TTTAACATCGCTCGATTTTTGAGAAATATGGTTATGGAGTTTGTGGACCCTCGCGGCTCACAAGAAGACCTGTGGCATAGGTTCTTTTGTGTCTTGGGAAATTGCGTGTATTTGTCATTGTTGGTAATTCACAACTGTTGGAATTGTTCATAATAATTGATGACTATTTGAATTGTTGATAAAAATTGACAAATATTGAAATTGTTAATAATAATTGATAACTGTTGAAATTGTTGATAATTGACGATTGTTGAAATTGTTCATAATTGACGACTGTTCAAATTGTTAATGATAATTGATAACTGTTTAAATTTTTTATAAGGACTGTTGAAGTTTTTGATAATTGACGACTGTTAAAATTGTTAATAATTAATGACTATTCAAATTGTTGATAATGGATAATATTCATCAAAGAATTTATGTATATTCTGTTTGGACAGTTTGAAAATATCAATCAGGGTTGATTTAACTTCCTATTTTTTTCTCCCTCAAAATTTTTGAGTGATTTTATAAATTCTTTATTTGAATGAAATAAATTTAATTGCTGAATAGAGAACATTTTGTTCTGATGATTTTCAAAAGTCAAAGTTTATGATTTCACAAAATGAATAGCACCTCATAGGAAATTTTCTGTAAACTTTCATTTAGTTCACTTGAGATGAATTATATAATTGAATGGATTTTGCAAAATATTTGCAAATATGCTGACTTGAAGTATATTTGTAAATGTGAGTGAGTTTAGATAGTGTAAAAAGGAGAAAATGATGGTGGTAAATGGATTTAAGGTGGTTGTATTGCAACAGTGGAGTGCAGATCATCTGTGAATTTGATGAAGAGTCAAAAATGTTTATTGATATTTAATATAAAATTTGTTTGAGGTGCAATGTGATTTTGAACCTTGTGAAATTTTTGTGGAAGAGGTGGTTGTTTAAAAGTGTTAGGAAAATAAGAAGCTTGTAAGAATGTTAGGAAAATAATTTATGAGCTTGTAAAAATATTATAGAAATGATATACAAGCTTGTAAAGATATTGCAAAAATAATATGCAAGCTTAAAAAAATATTACAAAAGTAATATAGAAGCTTGTGAAAATGTTACAAAAATAATATAGAAGCTTGTGAAAATATTACAAAAATAATATAGAAGCTTGTAAAAATATTACAAAAATAATATAGAAGCTTGTAAAAATATTACAAAAATAATATGCAAGCTTGTAAAAATATTACAAAAACAATATAGAAGCCTGTAAAAATATTGCAAAAATAATATACAACCTTGTAAAAATATTACAAAAATAATATGCAAGCTTGTAAAAATAATACAGAAGTAATAAACACTCTTAACATCACAAAAATAATATAAACTCAATAAGAGATATTCTACTCAATCTTTAAACACAAGTTATAAATGCACTTATCCTAAAAATTGTAAAATTAATATAAAATTTAGTAAAACCATTAAAAAGAAATATTTTAAACATTCTCTAAATACAAATGGGATAACAATCTCAATAACAGTACTTGACACTTTCCTAACTGTTTATTTCTAAAATTCCAAAGTGAATCGCCATCATTTTCTGTTGGAGTAGTAGAAGTATACAAAATGGCGGTCACTTAATTCTAATAAACTTGAAGTATCATTTACTTTAACTTACACTTTACATGCTTACTATTTATTGTTAAATTATTGTATGAATAACAAGTTAGCTTTAACATTCGTGTTCTGAATTAATTTTAAAGTTAAAAATTTATTAAAAGACGAAGGAAAGTAAAACGAAACTATCGAATAAATTTTGTGTATGATTACGGTCTTTTGGTACAAAATTGTATAACTAAATTATTTTGATATTTAATATATTGTTAAATGTAGCATATTATTAATTTCTACCTAATATATTGTTAACTGTAAAATATAATTTTACAAATCTAACTACTCACAGTTAGGTGAACATACATTAATATCCAAATTATATCTTGTTCAAATTCACCATAATTCTTTTTTCTATAATTTTCCTATATTTATCTAAACTTGAATTATATTTATAAATAATTTAGATAAAACAGTTTGCAAATGCAAAAAATGTGTCGTGAGACTTAAACAATAACAATTGCAAGTTTTAACACTAAGTTTGCAATAATAGTGTCCGCCATTGCTCTATTTTCGTACAATTCAAATTACAATCTTCCACACATAAATTTGTAGTACTTTAAAAATATTTAAAGTAACATTCCTTTAATTACAAATGTACCTGCAGTAAGTGCTCTTTTATACCGTTAAATATATATTTAAATTATATCCGGAGATAATTGCAATTCGATCTCCGTCTTAAAATTTTCAAAACTGTGCTAGTCTTTCGATATTATTCAAATTTTAAAGAAATTCTACAAACTGCATATAATACAACCATCTTGAGTTTTATTTAATTAATACAATTCAAACCTTTTTTATTAATATTGCAATTTGAAGGTTAAGATATCAAAATGTGACAATAACCTAACCAAACTCAATTATTATCTCAAACAAACAAGTAACAGTGAAAAAAATATAATACACAGATTATAAACTAAAAACCAAACTCAATTATCACAATGAAAAGAATATAATTTACAAATCATGAACTCCATAACAATTATTTCTATGCCACCTGATCAAGTTCGATTTAGAATAACTTAAAAAACATACAAGATATTACAAGAACATACAATCCTCTTATAATTTATCTAAATCACGTCTAAAATGGAAGATGTTCGAAAGAAAAACAAATGGATGGCTAGATCTATACGTTAATCGAAGTCCAAAGACTTTTTCTACGATACTGTAAGTATCATGGGCGCCATTGTGCCCGTTCGAGTCGTACTCCTTTACGGGAAACCGTATCACAGGACACGTATGAGATTTAATCGTTTAACGAGAAACATAAAAAGCACGAGAAAGTATAGGGACAATTGTTAATCTTAGGGTATTAATTCGCGCTACGAAATACTCGAGGACCCGTGTATTTTCTATATTCGTCCCTTTTTCTCGTCCGCTCGTATTTATAATACCTTACGACGAGATCATTCTTATTTATTTAAAGAACTGTAAATACGTTGTAAATTGATCGATCGTCGATGTGGGAACTGAAGCTAACCAGAAGACAAGATGGCGGATTCTGTCTCTGGACTAAAATTAATTCAATTAAATTAATTCAAATCTTAATTTAATTCAAGTTTTGGTTTAATTCAAATCTTGGGTTAATTCAAGTCTTGGTTTAATTCAAAATATTGCATAAAAGTTTCAAGCAAAAATACGTTGTTTTATTTCAACTTCGAGGCCCAACCCGGTCAGGAGTCACCTAACCTTTCCCGGTCAATTTTACAGTAAAAAAATTCTGTAAAATTCTTGGAGGTCATAGACCTAGAATTAAAAATAAAAATGACAAAAGCTGAGGACTTAAATAAATTTGTAGCTTCTGACCGGTGTCATTTTTCGGGCGCCATTTTGTTCCGATTTGGTTGGCCTCGGTTCCGCTCGTATTTTATACGTACCTAATATCGTACCTAAGTCCGTGAGATTCGCGAGGCCGGGAATCCGAGGAAAATCGAAGCATCCGACATTTTTCCTTTTCCTATCCTTTTTTTGAATACTCATGTCGTTCAGGTCGAGGTGTTCCACCTTTCCCTGTGGCAAAAAGCGCCAACGAGGGAGCAAGAAAACCTTCGTAGTACGTGGGTGCGAGTCCGAGCCAGTAGACCCGGCGGTGCTTGGCATTGTTGTGCATTAAATATATATATACGCGCATGTATATATATATTGATACGTTGTGTGCATTTTGTGTTGTGCTGAAAGTGGCATGTGTAGTATTTTTGTTTGTTCTCTTTTTTTCTTCTCCGTAGATTAAGTAGCTAGTATTTAAAATTCCCCAGGATCTGCTTCCTCTTTTCCTCTCCGATTCTCTTTACCGTTTACTTTGTGAAGTAGAGAAAGAAAAAGAAAAAGAAACCCTCCACACGTCGTGCATGCTTACGTCCGGTGTGTGTGCGTGAACGTTGCGTGTTGTTTTCCTTTTTATAATATTGGACGTAAAAAAAAATAGATGATAGATTAGACGTAACACGTGCAAACGGAGGACGCGAAACACAAGGGAGAAATTGGAAATACAATGTGTGTAATCCGTGTATCTCCCATCGACGCACAAAGTACAAATAATATATTAATATTACGTTTACGATAATCCTAAACGGTAAAACGAATGTACGGCTGGCGTGCCTTTAGATTATGTATATCACATGTGTAAATAGTGTACTTGTAAAATACTGTGATAATATTTATATTACACGTACGTGTATTATTATTATTATTATAATTATTATTACTATGTTTAATTTTGCGATTGCGATACGTTTTAAGTTACGGTGCCAGTTATACAGGTAGGTATCTTTTTAGAGAAGATCCTTTTTTCGTTTTCCGACCGAAATGGAAGGAATTCGTTGCGATTAGGTAATAGTTTCGCGTGAAACGCTGAACTAGTTGCGTCGAGAAGATTAAAGAAAACGAGCTGGTTCCAGTTAGGTATTAACAATCCAGCCTAACTGAGCGACTCCCGACCAGCTCTCGATGTAGTTAATAACATTGTTGAAGAAAGAAAGTTATAAAGAATGCTCTCGCTAATGATGTTGCATTTCGTTTCTTTTTTTTTTGTTTGTTGCTTCAACGCTTTTACTTCTCGTTTGCGCGAGAAGCGTTTGTTGACGTGTGCGATGTACCCAGCAATTCAAAGACCTTATCCTCGATAAGTTATCGAAAATTTTTCGGCAAGATTTTTGTAAATCACCGACTTCATTTCACCGTCCATCTTTTCATCCAGGTAGGTTTGCTTAGTCGTCTTATTGAATTATTTTAAAGAAGCAATAAAATGTCTCTCCCCGCTCCGCCATTTTGCGAGGTTCATAGGGTGCACGAGGGTTCGAAGACGATTTACGACGTAACGACTTAACGATTATGATGTATTTCGCTAAGGAGGCACCCTGAGGTCGCTTGGTACGACGAAGGCAGCTGCATGGCAGAGAAGGGCAGAAACAGGTGGGGAGGAATGAGGGAGAAGGGAAAGAGAAAGATGGCGGAGAGAGGGAGAGACGGCGAAGAAGAGAGAGAGAAGGTATGGAAGGTGGAAGCAGAATACCATATACGGTCACCTTTGTCAAAGCCTGGTTGTCGCCATATACAGGCAATGTTCGCGATGGCAGATACTTATATAGAGTCCAACTTAAGAATCAGGAATGTTGCTTTTTGTCGCGCCTTCTATACACACCCGTGGTAATGGAGGGTACAAATGCGACTCGGAAGTGATCGCCGACAACGCCTGTTGGCTCCCGGGACAAGGGTCGCTCCCCCTTCGCCCTCTTCCTAAATCCCTGGACGGAGCTTGCGACCCGCGAACCACGGAAGTTGTTTTTCCCGGTATCCGCATTTCGATACTGACGGACAGGTTTCACCGAAGGACATGTCCCCGTGGTGGGGGCAGTTTTGAAGCGAGGTGGAAGGATAACGCATGGTCGCTGATAGGTCCGCTCGATAATTGTTCGGAAGTAGGGTAGTCTGATTAATGCTTCTCGCTGCTTTTGGAATTCAGAACCTTTGGAACGCGTTAGAGATCTCCTTAATGGTCGCCGTCTCCCGAGGATAAAGGACGTTCACATTCGTACAATCTCTCGTCAAGGTTTGAGATTTTGAAGAAAATTCACCGGGCACGATGAAATCACTCGAACTTCCCGGAACGGCGCATCCATCTTCTCATTATGCCAAACGTGGGTGTAGACTTACACAAGGATGCGTGCTAAATCGTTTTTTAAAATCTCGGTGTCCTCGAAGGATTTGAAAGACAGGCAGTAATGTACGGTAGCGACGTGATTCGCTTTCTCCGTAGGCGTACGATCATTGGTATCCGGACATGTGTATGCGTCCTAACGAAGGAGTCGAAATGTATGTATAACGCATAGGTTGCCCGTTCACGGTTTCGCCGTTGGAAAAAACTATTCTCAGTGGCGGTCGAGGGAGAGAAAGTCACCCGGGGAAACCGTAGTCCTGCGTAAATTTGTGAGAATCTCCCGTGGAAGCGCGGAGTACGAGTTCAGGCCGCGCGGATGGCCATATATGGTGCGCGAACAAGCTCGCGCATCTCTCCCTGCTAGGTAGGTAGGTAGGTAAGTTGGTTCGTTGGTTGTTTCGTTGCTTGCTTAGTTGGTTGGTCGGTCGGTAGAAGCTCGTTGATTGATTGGTTAGTTGACCGTTTGATTGGCTCGCCGATATTATTGCCGAGGCGTTATCTACGATTTACAGGTTCGAGAGAACCGCGGATCTTCTCTTCGTTTATGCGACTCGTTAAGGATCTGGTATTTGCGACCCGTACGATTCTATATCGTCGCTTAGTTTTGCTAACAGTTAATCGCTTTTTGATTGGGTTACTTTGTTGCCAGATGCGCGTTACTTTATGGTTAATTAATTCCTGCTTTACGGAAGTAAGTTTCTTGGAACTGTCGATTGTGGAGGCAGAAACCTTGCGATGATTCATGACATTTCATGAATATTTCTTTTACGTTGCATACTTTGTTTACTAGCGTGTATTGTAGTCATCTTTTAACATTTTGATATATTTCCTGGGACCTGGTCCTTCTATTTACTGGATCAACATTTGTTTCTGTTTGCGTGGTGAAGCAATGTTTGGCCGACACTATGGACGAATAGTTCGATGATTTGTCTAAGTGACGAATGGATATTTCTATAATTTGTCCATCTAACGAGTATTTGGGTGATTTGTCTACTTAATGAATATTTGGATGATTTGTCTAAGTAACGAATTGATATTTGGATGATTTGTCTAAGTGACGAATTGATATTTGAATGATTTGTCTACCTGACGAATATTTCAATAATTCGTCTACCTAACGAATATACGGATGATTTGTCTACCCGACGAATATTTTGACTTGTCTACCTGACAACATAACAGACATTTGGTTAGTCCATTTACACAGTGTATAATTATTTGATTGGTCTACTCATGATAGTTTGATCCACTTACACGATAGTTTCTATTTACATGGTGGATGAACATTTGGTTGATTTATCTACGTGAAATGATGAATGAATATTTGGTTAATCTACCTAGATGGTGGTTGAACATCTTGATTGATGGTTTTATGTGATGGAGAGTTTTTTGATCCACAAATGTGAATAAACATGGATATTTGGTTGATTTATATGGTGGAACATATGGTTCTGTTTAGGTGGAATGGTGGACGAATATGTTATCGTGGATGGGCATTTGATAATCTGTTTATATCATTGTTCATCTGTTCACATTATTCTGATGATCTTTAAATAAGGTTCATAACAAGGTTTAAATACTTGGTTGATTTATGTTCATGAAATATTGGATATTTAGTTGCATGTTGGGTATTTTGGTTTATGATAGATGAACATTTCTGACATATTTAATAAACGAGAATTTACCCATTTAAATGGTGGATGAATATTTATTTAAAAGACGGTAGATGAGTATTTAGATGATTTATCTATGCGGAGATAAATATTTGGTTGATCTACACGCTGCATCTGCTTCATGCTAGATAAATATTTATATTGTGAATGATATATTGACTGATTTACTTTTTCTTGGATGAATATTTGTTCTACTTACACAGTGTATGAATAGTCATTTCTCTTCCAAACAAGTCACATTTCACTGTTTCAGGAGGATGGCACTTCACCTAGGTCAGACGTCTGTGCCAACGAAAGCGACGGAGACACCAGCGATGGCGACTCTCCGGTATCCAAGGATCTTTCAAAAAATCACTCCGGTAAGTGTATTTATTCTATTGATGTATCCTGTCTGGAGATTCTAGTACGACACCCAAGATACTTTGGGAAAATTTTAGGTCAATGTTGTGTCATTCTCTCAAAAATTACAGTTCCAATCAGGTTAAATTCACATCATAGCTAATATTTAATTAAACCAAGCATCTGACCAAATAAGATCAAATATCTAAACAAATTTAATCAAAACAATTTAAACCAAACATTTGATCAGATCAAAATGAATGAAGCTTCTCATCAGATCAAGCTAAAGCAAATATCTAATTAAATTGAATGAAACTAAACATCTAATAAAATCAAACTAGACATCAAATGAAATTAAACCAAATATCTGATCAAATCAAACCAAACAAAACGTATAATCAAGTTGAACCAAAACAATTTATACCAAACATCTCATCAGATCAAACTAAACCAAGCATCTCATCAGATCAAGCTAAAGCAAATATCCAATTAAATTGAATGAAACTAAACATCTAATAAAATCAAACTAGACATCAAATGAAATTAAACCAAATATCATGTCAAATCAAATTAAATATCTGATCAAATCAAATCAAATATCTGACTAAATGAAATGAAACCAAATCAAACTACATAGCTAAGTAATACAAACCAAACGAATCTAAATATTTGATCAAATCAAAGTAAATATCTAAGCAATTCAGATCAAACGAACTGTGTGATCGAACCAAACCACATACCTGATCAAACCAACTATGTGATTGAACCAAACTACATACCTGATCAAACCAACTATGTGATCAAACCAACTATGTAATCGAACCAAACCACATACCTGATCAAACCAACTATGTGATTGAACCAAACCACATACCTGATCAAACCAACTATGTGATTGAACCAAACCACATACCTGATCAAACCAACTATGTGATCAAACTAACTATATGATCAAACCAAACCACACACCTGATCAAACCAAACTACATACCTGATCAAACTAACTATATGATCAAACCAAACCACATACCTGATCAAACGAAACCTAACCAAATATTTAAGTAATTCAAACCAAAGTAAATATCTGGTGAAGTCAAACTAAACTAAACCAAATATCTGGTCAGATCAAATCAAACTAAGTATCTATGCAATTTAAACTAGATCAAACTGAACCAAATATCTGATCAGACCAAACCAAACTAAGTATCTATGGAATACAAACCAGACCAAACTAAAGCAAATATCTAAGCAATTCAAGCCAAATTAAGCTAAATGTCTGATCAAACCAAACTAAACTAAATATCTGATGGAACCAAATCAAACTAAGTATCTATGCAAGTCAAACCAGATCAAATTGAACCAAATATCTGATCAGACCAATTCAAACTAAGTATCTATGCAATTCAAACCAGATCAAACTAAACCAAACATCTGATCAGACAAATTCAATCTAAGTATCTATGCAATTCAAACCAAACTAAACTATATATGAGATCAAATCAAACCAACTATGTGATCAAACCAAACCAAACTAAACCAAATATCTGATCAGCCTAAACCAAACTAGGTATCTACAAAATTCAAACTAAACCAAACTGTATATCTGATCAAATCAAATCAACTATGTGACCAAACCAAACTACATACCTGATCAAACCGAACCAAATTAAACCAAATATCTGATGAAACCAAATCAAACTAAGTATCTATGCAAGTCAAACCAGATCAAACTGAACCAAATATCTGATCAGACCAATCCAAACTAAGTATCTATGGAATTCAAACCAAACTAAACTATATATGAGATCAAATCAAACCAACTATGTGATCAAACCAAACCAAACTAAACCAAATATCTGATCAGCCTAAACCAAACTAGGTATCTACAAAATTCAAACTAAACCAAACTGTATATCTGATCAAATCCAACCAACTATGTAATCAAACCAAACCACATACCTGATCAAACCATCCCAAAGCAAAATAAAGTGAACGACACAAAAATTTGATCTAATCAAACTGAAGCAGTCGAGGGATCTAATGTGAAACCTGGAATAAAAGCAGATCAATGGAAACTGAACTGTTGGAACATTTCGTGGCAGCAAAGCGTTTACATCAAGTACATCGTATTCAGTATCCGATTACGCAATGGTAAAAGAACAATGGTTACCAAAAGTCGTCGGCACCGTTATCGTGCAGCTGAGTCGGCATCGGAATTTCGCGTGCGAGCGAATTCGCACGTGGGCAGTGTCCGCGGGCAAAAGTGGAAAATCGTTAGAGGCCCGTGCAATCAGTCAGTTTAGGTCGGCGGACAGAGAGGATCGTTGTAGAAAACGAGAGAATGGTATCAGAGAGGTAAACGTATGATGCGTAGCTCGGGCGGGAGCGAGAAACGGACAGAGAGGGAGAAGATAAAGGAAAGAGGACACTTAAAATGCGAAAAGTGTGCGAGCGATGACGAGGTTATCCGTGTAGGGGAGTACATAAGGAGTTGTACGGGCCGCGATGACCAAACTAAGACAACGACGCGCTGCCTAACTGGGAAGTAAGATCCGGTCGAAAGCCGCGCTCCGATGCAGGTGTACACATAAATATCGATGCTAATATATGGAGTGGATGCCATCCGACTTACCGATCGCCAGCATGACGTACGAGTTTTTTTTTTTTCTTTCGCCTCGCCATTGTTCCTCCGTCGCACAAACTGTCCATGCCGGAATTTTGATAACGTTGATATCCGACCCGGACGATCTTACCCCGGACGATCGCGTTCCAATTGCTCCTTTGTCGTTCAACCTTGTTTCGAGGCCCTTTTTTTTCGTACACGATTTCACGAGGTGTCTACTCCGGTTCTTCTTCGCTGACATTGAACGTTGTCGATTAGTTGATTGGACGACTCCGGTAATTAATTCTTCGGGGAGACGATTAACGGTACGGCCGCTTCGGATGTGGAGGTTCTTTTTTGCGGGCACTTTTAATATTTTTTTTAGGGGTTTGGAGATTTTTTGAGACGTTTAGGGTACTTTGAGGAGATTTTCTGTTGTGGATTTTATAGGGGAATAAAGTTAGTGGTGGTCAAAATTAGGTTTGGGGAACTTGGTAATATTTGGACTAGTTGTAGGATTTTATTGTTGTAATAATTATTTATACAGTGATATTAATTATTTTACACAATTATTTCGTTGATTTGGTATTTAGAATGAGATTATATTTGGTATTATTGCTTGGGGTAGTAACTATGGTTTATGAACCTAACCTATAAAATGTAACTCTTAATACATTAATTTCTATTTATTTTATTTATGCATTTGATTCTTGTAATTGTTGATGCATTGTTAAAAATCAAAATTCGTTAGATAGTGTTGTAATTGTCATAAATTGTAGTGATTAGTAGTAATAAATTCTAGTAAATTAAAATTAATGATATAATGTTCTGATAGGTATTTGAACAATAAATTATAGTGAGTAAAAATTAATTTTATAGTACTGTATTTTTAGTGAAGGTTCAAATGATAAATTACAACAGACAGTAATAATAAATTTTAGTAAATTATGGCGAATGGTAACTATAAATAAATAGTAAATTATAACAAATAGTAACTATAAATAAATAGTAAATTATAAGAAATAGTAACTGCAAATAAATAGCAAATTATAACAAATGGGAACTATAAATAAATAGTAAATTATAACAAATAGTAACTATAAATAAATAGTAAATTATAACAAATAGTAACTGTAAATAAATAGTAAATTATAAAAAATAATAACTATAAATAAATAGTAAATTATAACAAATAGTAACTATAAATAAATAGTAAATTATAATAAATAGTAACTATAAATAGATAGTAAATTATAAAAAATAGTAACTATAAATAAATAGTAAATTATAATAAACAGTAACTATAAATAGATAGTAACTTATACTAAATAATAACTATAAATAAACAGTAAACTATAACAAATAACAACCATAACTGAATAATAAAATATATCAAATAACAACCATAAATAACCAATAAACTATAAAATATAATAACCACAAATAACTACTACATTAAAACAAAAATTAACTATAACTATTATAGTAAATCACAACATTAACAACAAATTAAAATAAATAACCCAAAAAATAATACTATAGTCACAGTAAATGTTACAACTATTCAATTAAACTAAATAACTCCTAAATAAAGAATAAAAAAAACTTGACTCCAAAAATGGCACAATAAAATGCGAGAGTACGTAACTTTAGGGTATTAGTCAGTTAAAGTGTTTTTCTTAGGTACACGAAGAAACAATAAACCGAAAGTTCTTTCTGTCGAAGAGAAATACATATGTACATATACAGAATAATGTATACTGCTATCTACTTTTAAGTAGAGAAAGTACACACTTAATTTTGACAGGATTCAATCTGACTTTTGCTGTGATACATGGGAATTTAGGTTTTTCAGTGGAAATATAAATTTAATTAAATAAAACTTGTATATACATTGTTATATGATGTTCATATTAGGTTGTTTAGCATCATTTTTATTTGTATAATTAATATTTATTATATAATATTTAATAAGGGACGATTTGTACAAAAAATATTCTTCATTGTTGAAATCAATTTTTGGGGTTAGTTTAATTTGAAATAAATATTTTATTAGTTTGATTAGTTTCATTGTTATGTTAACATTTTATTAATTTTATTATACAATAAATATTCTATTCATTTTGTTATAAGACAAACATTTTATTAATTTTTTTATAAGACAAACATTTTATTAATTTTCTTATAAGACAAACATTTTATTAATTTTATTATAAGACAAACATTTTATTAATTTTGTTATAAGACAAACATTTTATTAATTTCCTTATAAGACAAACATTTTATTAATTTCCTTATAAGACAAACATTTTATTAATTTCCTTATAAGACAAACATTTTATTAATTTCCTTATAAGACAAACATTTTATTAATTTCCTTATAAGACAAACATTTTATTAATTTCCTTATAAGACAAACATTTTATTAATTTCCTTATAAGACAAACATTTTATTAATTTCCTTATAAGACAAACATTTTATTAATTTCCTTATAAGACAAACATTTTATTAATTTCCTTATAAGACAAACATTTTATTAATTTTGTTACAAGACAAACATTTTATTAATTTTGTTACAAGACAAACATTTTATTAATTTTGTTATAAGACAAACATTTTATTAATTTTATTATGCAATGAATGTTTTATTGCATTTATCACTTGATGAACCTTCTGTTAATTTTACTATAAAATAAGGTTATGTTCATGTTATGTATCGTTACTAAAATAAATATAAATCTTCTTTATTACAAATGTTTTACATAATGCTAAAAAATAAATCAAAGGACTTACACCATTTTTTTTAAATAAAAGAATTTTATTTGACTTCGTCCTTTCGAAAAACATCAATTTTATCAGTTCAAGATTTAAAAATCATATCTTCATTTATTTTTCAAATAATTCAAGTGTAAATTCATTGTTCGTTAATTATCTCAAAATATGTCGTAGTCATTGCAATTTTCTGCCAGTTAATCTAAGCAACATATGTTCAATTTCATATTAAAACCCGCACCGCTTTGCCTATCCACTTAAGCTTAATCTAGCTTCATATTATGTTCACCACGTAAATGTATATTTTTAGCGACGCTTCCGGAATTAATTTAACTAGTAAAAGAATCATAAAAAAAGAAATTGCTCATCGATAAATTCGTTCTATTCGAGAACTAAAAACTTCGAAGAAGATATACTTGAGAACGTGACTTCATATTCGTATTCAAGGGAGTACTCGCATTTTTTAATTCCGTCGACGGAAATATGAGAAAGTTGCGAAACTATTTTTTCCTTCGAGCATTCTTTATTATTCATTGACGCATTAAAACAGAATAAATCAGACTTAACAACAAAATTATAATAATGAACACTAATTACGGTATAATAATTATTATACTTTCATAACAGATAGAAAAAATTATTTTTAACTTGTTAGATTGTTAAATAATTTTATTTGTATATTAATAATTTGAGTTGTAAAATAATTTGTTTGTATTTGCTGTAAAAATGTACAATTGTTACGTTATTGTCAAGTAATTATATTATTGTCATCTTAGTATTATATTAATTTCACATTATTATATTAATACCATATTGGTGGCACGTTATTATATTTTTGCCGTATTATTGTCACATTATTATATTATTACATTATTACATTATTACATTATTACATTATTACATTATTACATTATTACATTATTACATTATTACATTATTACATTATTACATTATTGCATTAGTATCATATACACTTATTTACTAATCTCCTCTAAGAAGGCTACTCAAAATGGCGGACACACAAAATGGCTTCCCTCGCGTTCCCAACAAAAACCCTCACCTCGCATCTTCTTACAACTTTTTCTACCTTATACTTATTTCAAAACAGTCTAAAACAGAACCAATATTTCTAAAATAAGTGAAAAAAGCATACTACCTTTCAGTAATAAAATGATAACGTAAATAATTACGCTTTACGTATAAGCACTATGAAACTGCACCCCCTATTACCACTTCATATTATCAATAATAGTAAATGAAAATTGTTTGATTTGTTTGTGTTAGAAGTCTATCAAGTTTCTCACAAAATTTTATTTTTATGTAAGTCTTCTTTAACACAATTAAGATGGAGGCTAAAATGTTAACCTTTAACTGAGGTTAAAATAGCAGCTCCTAATTTTAGCGACTCACAATATTAGTATACGACATACCGAGCTTGATTCAAATTTATTTCTGTTCGCAGGTATAATGTACCAGATGCCCCAGACAGTGATTTACTCTCCGAGTCCCGGTGTCCTGCTCGGCATCGGTCAGAACGGTCAGCCAGTGCAAATCTCTCAAGAAGGAGGTGAGAAACCATGATCAACCCCGGGCTTCCCATAAAACGCATCCGCCATCCTTCCGCAACGGAGAGATCGGTCCTGGTCCTTCCTGTTTCCCAAGTAGAGGTTTTCGCATTGTTTCGCAGGCACAGCGTCGAACTCGAACCAGAGTAACCAACCGTTCATCACGATACCGTTGAACGTGGCGATGAGTGCCGCAGGTTTGTCGCTTCCTGTCGCGTCCAGGATGAATCTGTCGCCGTCTCCTCGATCGCCGACGTCCAACTGCGACCTGCCATCGGACCTCAGCAAAGATCGCGAGTGACACGTGTCATCGTGATCCAGGAACTGTCGATGCATCGTTAACATCTCGATCGATCATCAGTTCGACCGAGGTGGCGAACTTGATGTCCGTCGCGTGCGTACCACCTGGATGCTCTCGAGAGGAGACTCGGGACTTGGGACTCTGATGTCTCTTGAGGATCTCATCAATTATGATCGTCGATTTTTGAGAGGAGATTGATTTTTATGAGGATCGATGAGGATCTTTCATCAGTGGTCTTTTGTATGATCTTGTGGTGAGGATCGGAGGGAGATTATAGGGATTTGTTGAGTGTGATCTCTTGGGTGTGAGGATGCCATATTTTATGAGGATTGCCATTAGTTGTGATGAAGATATAGCTGTTTTGATGAGGATATGCATATGCATTGTGATGAGGATCTCTCAGTTGCTATGACGAGGATCTCCTACATATTGTGATGAGCATTTCATATCTACTCTGATGAGGATCTCCCAGCTAGTCTGATGAGGATCTCATGTCTACTCTGATGAGGATCTCATGTCTACTCTGATGAGGATCTCCCATCTATTATAGTGAGGATCTCCCAGCTACTGTGATGAGGATCTCCCATCTACTCTGATGAGGATCTCACATCTACTCTGATGAGGATCTCACATCTACTCTGATGAGGATCTCCCATCTATTGTGATGAGGATTTCACATCTACTCCCCTGAGGATCTCACATCTACTCTGCTGAGGATCTCCCATCTACTTTGACAAGAATCTCACATATACTTTACTGAGTTCTCCCATCTACTCTGCTGAGGATCTCTCATCTATTCTAACCTGGATTTCCCATTTATCCTAACGAGGATCCCATCTATTCTTGCAGAGGACCTCCCATCTGCTCTCATGAGAATTTCCCATCAATTATGATGATCTCCCATTAATCTTAACAATCTCCCGTCAATTGTCATCACAATCTGCCATCGCCTGCAATGACATGATCTGCTCAGATCCATAAGTAGCTGAGTCCTGAGACTCCCGAGACTTCTCCATGTTTGAAGTTGTGCACCAAAGCACTCTGTTACAGAATGTATCGATTGCATTCGTAAGTGGAGATGGGATATAAGTACTCTTATTATTGAAGAAGTTTAAATTAGTTTGGAACTATGCTACGAAGGATGTTAGAAGTCTTTTGATCTGACTCAGGTAATTTTACAGAAAATACGTATGGAACATGTACGTATTATTTTAAATGTTTTGGTGGAGATCTTAAGTGGTTGGGATTTGTATTTTCAATGTTGTCAGATTATTCATTCTTTTTGTTTAATTTTTCATGGAAGATTGTGGATTTAAAATTCTTAAAAATTGTTTTATACAAAACGCTTTATAATTCATACAGAATTCTTGTATAAAAAGCGCTGTACAATTCATATAAAATCCTTTTACAAAAGCGTTGTACAATTCATACAAGATTCTGGCACGAAAAGCGCTGTACAATTCATAAAGGATTGCTGTACAAAAACCGTTGTACAATTCATAAAAAATTCTTGTACAAAAAGCGCTGTACAATTCATACAAAATTCTTGTACAAAAGCGCTGTACAATTCATACAAAATTCTTGTACAGGCAACGTTGTACAATTCTTAAAAATTCTGGTACAAGAAACGTTGTACAACTCATAGACAATTATTTCACCCAAAACGTACAATTCTTAAAAATTCTTGTACAAGAAACGTTGTACAACTCATAGACAATTATTTCACCCAAAACGTTGTACAATTCTAAAAAAATTGTTTCACACAGAATGTTGTACAATTCATAAAAAATTCTTCTACAAAAAGCGTTGTACAATTCATAAAAAATTCTTTTACAAAAAGCGTTGTACAATTCATAAAAAATTCTTTTACAAAAAACGTTGTACACTTTATAAAAAATTACTTAGCACAAATTTTCAATTTGTGCACAAATGGCTAAACTATAATTCAAGACATTACAAACAAGACATTTACAAACCATAACTGCCTTCCACAAAACATTATCTTACAACTGATAAACAATTTCACAACTTCTAACTTAATAATTTCTTCACCAATGTTCTATATATAGCACTACTAAAAGCCTCTCCAACCATTCAAACTTCACCCAATAAAATTTCTACCCCACAAACGAATTCGTATCACAAGTAAAAATTGTATTAAACTCGATCCCGTCTCCACTCGTGGTAGCCGACGGTAAAACGCGTCCGCAGGGAGACATTCTTCGCCATTTGTATTTTCCGCGAGCGCGTTCGATGTCTTGCCTTAATAAAATCCTCGTTCGAGTTTCACGGATAGAATGAACTCAAATTGCAACGGATCCGTCGAAGGCTTTTTTTATAAAGCTCTGATATTTTCGTTAAGTCAAGTTCGGTGACAAAATACTTCTAGCACCTCAAGGTACCAAGGTATCAAGGTACCAAGAACTTTTGGTACCTCAAGTATAAAATTGAGGATCTTGCTTTTTGATCAGAAAAAGATTTGCAAAAATATGCAAAAATGATAATATTATAAAAAAATTATAATACAATTTTTAACTGTTTCAGTATAGAAGTTTGTAATTTTGTTTTTAAAATTCCATTTGACAAATTTTTAAAATAAAACTAGTCCCTATACACCGTTTAACGTATAAATAATATCACAAAGAAGAAAATATTACAAAATACATACTCCTCAACGTCGAAATCTTAAAATAATTCACATTTTTGCATTTTTTTAAAAATCCTCTTCTAAGTCTTCTAAGTTAACAAATAATGAATTGTTTCTCAATTTTTCACAAGAGGTACCAGATATTAATACGAGTATTTTGTGACAAAATTTGATGACTAGATACTCGGTTTCGTTACCGGCGTTCGATCGATTCTCGTGCAATACTAGTCAAACTTTTTAGCCCAACGAACGTTCCACGGAGTAATTTTTCACGAGTTTCGACCTCGAGGTGTTTTAGCGTTCGTGAATTTATTGTTGGTAGAGTCGTTCGTTATTTTTTCACGGTAGAATCGTTTAGAGCGGTGATGGGCAAGTTGCCGGTGGCGGGCAAATGGCGGTGCGCTTGGGAGCGATGGATAGGATTCAAGGTATGATAGTTCGGAAATTTGAAATTTTTGTGTTGGTACGTTTTTAAATTTCAGGAAATTTGATAATTAAGAGGATGTAGAATTTTTGATATTAGTAAATTAGTGATTTTGTAATTTTGTAGACTTGCAGATTCTTAAATTTTTGGATTTCTGGTTTTGTGGATTCGTGAATTTCTGGATTTCTAGGTTACTAGACTTCTAGATTCTTAAATTCCTAAATCCCTAGATTCCTAAATTCCGAAATCTCAAAATTTCTAGATTTCCAGATTCCTAGATTCCTAGATCCTTAGATCCCAAAATTCCTGGATCCCTAAATCCCTAGATCCCTAGATTTTGGGATACCAAAATCCCTAAATTTGTAGGTTATTATAACTTCTATATTTCTAGATTTCTAGTTTCTTAGATTCCTGGATTCCTAGATTCCTACATTTCTAGATTCCTAGATTCCTAGATCCCTAGACTCCAAAATCCCTAGATCCTTAAATCCCTAGATCCCTAAATCCCTAGATTTATAGATTTTTAGATTAATAGATTACTAAATTACTGGGTAACTATATTACCATATTACTAGATTACTAGATTACTAGATTACTAGATTACTAGATTACTATATTGCTAGGTTACTAGATTATTAGATTATTAGATCACTAGATTTCTAGATTAGGAAATTAAAAACTTTATAAATTGGTGAATTTGTCAATTTTTAAATTTCTAAATTTCTGAATTAGTTAATTAATTAATTAGTAAACTATTAAACTAGTAAATTAGTATATTGTTAAGCTATTAAACTATTAAACTATTAAACTAGTAAACTAGTAAAGTAGTAAACCAGGAAACTAGTAAATTAGTAAACTAATAAACTAGTAACTTCCTAAATTTAAAAATTAAAAAATTTTAAAATTAGTAACTTAGTAAACTAGTAATTTCCTAAATTTCTAAATTTTTGTATGCTACAGGTATCCAGATTTCTAACAACAAATCAGTAAATTAATAACACTTTAAATTTTTGAATTTCCAAATTTCCGAATTTTTAAATTTCCTAATTTACAAATTTCTAAATCTCTCAATTGCCAGGTTTTAGAATTTTATTTATAATTTCCTAAAATTCCTAAATCCTTAAATTACTAAATTACCAAATTACCAAATTACCAAATTACCAAATTCCCAAATTACCAAATTACAAAATTACCGAATTCCCAAATACCCAAATTCCCAAATTCCCAAATTCCCAAATTCCCAAATTCCCAAATTCTCAAATTCTCAAATTCTCAAATTACCAAATCACCAAATCACTAAATCACCAAATCACCAAATTACCAAATTCCCAAATTCCCAAATTCCAAAATTCTCAAATTCCAAATTCCCAAATTCCAAAATCCCCAAATTCCAAAATCCCCAAATTCCCAAATTCCCAAATTCCCAAATTCCCAAATTACCCAATTTATTTACCGAATCTAAATAACTAAATTACCAAATGACCAAACATTCAAATTCTCAAACCATCAATTTCCAATACTCAAATTTAAAAAAAATTGAAATTTCCAAACGATCAAACCCCCAAATTATTAAATCACAACCAAAATTTTCTTAACTACCAAAAATCCCAATAAATCTTCAGATCTGATCACTGCCACTCCCTGCACACGTATGCCCGTCACAGGGCACTTATGTCGCTCACCACTGGTTTAGAGGCACATTTTAAAAAAAAGTACCGCGTTTTAATGCGATAGTGACGATCGATAGAATTAATCGACTTTTGTACGGTTCTTTTGCCAATTAGACCGCAAAATAACGAGGGAATTCGACGCGGTATCATTAGATCGTTAAATTATTTCCCAACATTCTGATCCTAGTTGTTGAGGAATTTTGTTCGAAAAGTATCGAAACATCGATTATTCAGAGGGCGACGATTACTTCTTAATCTT